TAAACATTGGTCTCTGCAGACTCACAAGGGTTTTTCTGATTACCCAGATAATCACACTGTCCGAAATAAATATGTATATAGGTTTTGCTCTGTCATTTATCAGGCCTCTTATAGGTATACAGCCAAATATACTGTATGCGTGGTATTTGTTGAGCAAACCACCTAAGAAAGGTTGTTTCTCTTCAACAAAGGCTTACCATGAGGGTTCTCCCCTAGGAAGAAGTATACAGTTGTGTCAGAAAACCCTTTTGTTTAGATTTACCAATTTTGAAGTTCTACCTCATTTATTTGGAATTTTGATATTGGGACTGTTTGCTGGGAATGGTGATTTGATTCCCCTTAGAGACTCTAAAATGTCTGTTTCCAAGTTCCTAATGGTTATGAAGGAGTCATACTGGCACAGGTGTAAATCTGCCTTTGTTCAGGAATCACCCACAGTGGACGGTCATGGTCCTTTGACAGCTTCGTGCTGCTGCATTGGTGTGTCTCCCCAGAAGTTGGCCCACGTGTGTTCACTGAGATTTATGTAGGAATTCTGACATCTAGGGCTGATGTAATAGGACATAAAGACCCGAGGAAGGCTTGATTGTCATTGCAGATATTTCCAATTATCATTGCCAGAAGTTTGGGGTTTTTTTTTCTCCAAATGCATCTTTTTGCATTCTGTTAAATTCCAAGCGTCACTAAGATCACTGGGTTTAATTGTCCAGTAACTGCTTTGCTAGCTTCCATAGACAGAAGCGTTTTGAAGTGACTGGCTCAGGAAGAAAGGAGGGCTGTCCATACTACAGCCTCCCCAACGCCCAGAGTGATGTGGACAGACTAGAAACAGAGCTGGTTGTCTTTATTTTCTCCTGTATAGGCTGTATCAGAAAATCCTGCAGCCGATGACAACAATGGAAACTGTGGATATAATAGGTAAATGCAAATTTAGAGACCAGAAATATTGCTAGACAAGTCCCAGACAGAAAAGATCCCCCAATCTGAAAAGATAAGAAAGACCATTGCGGATCATGTGAGGAAGTGTGCTGGGGGGTGAAAAGTGTGAACTGACTTTGAATCCTGGCTTTGCTCCCCAGTGGCTGAAGGCTGTGGTACAGCTGTATATTACTGTGGTGGACTGGTGCCCAACAGCCATTCCACCCATCTTATATTTCAGGGGTGAAGAAATAAAAACTGTCCAGACTCCCTTGCAGCTAGAGATTAGAATGTGGTTTGGTCCCACCCATTCAGTGCCGTCAGAGAAAGTAGAAAATGGACGTGAGTTTTGGGGCCATATTTGGGTTGTTTCTGCTGTTTCTCCTGGGAAGTGTGGTTGTGGTGGTGTGGTTCAGAAGTTTTCCAGAAGCTTCTAGCTTGACTGGTGGCTTCTTGATCTTAAAAGGGGTGAAATTCTCTTGGTAAAATATTCCTATATGGCATTGGCATTGCTCCTCAAAACTCAGCCCAGTTTTTTTCTCCAGTCTTTTCAAAAATTCTGTTACTACTCTCATTCACTTATTGCCTTTGAATCTCTCTTTGCTAAATCAGCAAGAATGGATTCTGTTCTTTGTAATGGAGCCCACAGAGCTGCTTAACCTCTCTGTGATGGCTTCTGCTGTGTCTCCTCATCTAGGCTCAGCTGCAGTCCCCAGCGTTCTCTTTCCAGTGTGTTTCCGGTTAGGGTCATTTTCTCTCCAGGTTCGGAGGGTGAAAGGGAAGCAGGCCATTTTGTAACCTGCACACACCTTCTCCCAGGTGTTCAACCAAACACTAGCATAGGTGCTGCTGTGAAGGAATATTGCAGATGTGATTAAAATCCCTATTGAATCACCTTTAAGTTGATTAAAAAGAAGATTATCATGGGTGGGCCTGGCTTAATCAGTTAGAAGACCTTTTTAGCGCTGCGTTTTAGCGCTCTGTCCTGCTCATTTTGAGTCTCTATCAATGTCATATTTGTTGGGTTTGTTTGGTGAGATAACTTAGGGCTTGACA